TGCTGACTTCACAGCTAAGTAGTAGTAGATGGAATGTAGATAATAAGTAGAAATTGGTATCTTTTTTTAGAGCTACTTGCTTTTTTTTCAAGGTATTTTTTTTTTGGTGAGGAAGATAGGTCCTGAGGTAGTATCTGTTGCCAATCTTCCTCTCCCCTCCCCCACAAAGCTCCAGTACATAGTTGTATATCCTAGTTGTAAGTCTTTCTAGTTCTTCTATGTGGGATGACTCCACAGCATGGCTTGATGAGCAGTGTGTAGGTCTGCGCCCAGGATCCAAACTGGCGAACTCTCGCCCACTGAAGCAGAGCGCGCAAACTTAACCACTATGCCACTGGGCTGGTCCATGGAGCTACTTGCTTTTGCTGAGACCACAGATTTATAAACTCCTCTAAGGGGAGCGATAAAAAGAAAAGCCACAGGCAGTCAATGTTATTAATATGGTCATGCACTGCTTAATGACAGGGATACATTATGAGAAATGTGTCGTCAGGCAGTTTTGTCATTGTGTGAACATCACAGAGTGAACTTACACAAACCTAGATGGTATAGCTACTACACACCTAGGCCATATGGTATAGCCTATTGCTCCTAGGCCACAAACCTGTATAGCATGTTACTGTACTGAATACTGTAGGCAACTGTAACACAATTCCAAGTATTTATGTATGTAAACATATCTAAACATATAACAGGTACAGTAAAAATACAGTATAGAAGATAAAAATAGTATACCTATATGGGGCACTTACTATGAATGGAGCTTGCAGGACTGGAAGTTGCTCTGGGTGAGTCAGTGAGTGAGTGGTGAGTGAATGTGAAGCCTAGGTCATTACTGCACACTACTGTAGACTTCGTAAACACTGCACACTTAGGCCACACTAAATTTATTAAAAAAAAAAAGTATTTTTCTTTCTTCAATAATAAACCTTAGCTTACTGTAACTTTTTTATTTTGTAAACTTCAAAATATTTTTAACTTTGACTCTTTTGTAATAACATTTAGCTTAAAATACATTGTACAGCTGTACAAAAATATTTTCTAAAAATTTTCTTTCTTTAGATTCTTATTCTCTAAGCTTTTTTCTATTAATTTTTTTTCTTTTACTATTTAAACTTGTTAAAAACTAAGACACAAACACACACACTGGCCTAGGCCTACACAGGGACAGGATCATCAATATCACTATCTTCCACCTCCACATCTGGTCCTCCTGGAAGGTCTTTGGGGCAATAAATGCATGGAGCCTTCATCTCTTATGATAACAACTACTTCTTCTAGAACACCTCCTAAAGGACCTGCCTGAGGCTCTTCCTGAGGAGCTGTCACTCTTTTCAGAAAAACGTCCATGGTGGTTTGCTTGGTTTCTTTCTTTTTTCATTACAGATTTGCTTGTAAGCAGATAATGCACCATGAACATTCCTCCCCATTAATGTAAACCTTTTGGTGCTGGAGTCCATGTTTTCAAACTTTTTAAGGAGCTTGGTGAGATCTGCCAAAGCTTTTGCTAACCCCTCCACAGTGAATTTTTTGGAGGGTTCTTCTTCTTTTTCTTCTCTTGCAGTTTCCTTTTCTCTTGCCTCTTCTTTGGCTATGAGTTCCTGTTCCAGTTCTCACAACTCCTCATTAGTCAATTCCCCAGGAACCACCTCTAGGAGCTCCTCAACGTCATCTTCATCCACACCTAGGTTAAAGCTGTTTGCCTTCTCAACCATAGCCCTGTTGATTTTTGCAACCTCCTCAACCTTGGCAAATCCTTTGAATTCATGGACAAACCTCTTTAGTGTCTTCTTCCAGATGTCATTCACAGACTTCTTGATGACATCACCCCAATCCCAAGCAAAGTTCTTGATGCAGTCAGAGATGTTGCAGTCCTTCCAGAATTGCATCAGTGTCTTCCTCAGTTGCAGCAATAGCTTGGACAAAGGTCCTCCTCGGGTAGTAGGCCTTAAAAGCTGCTATAACTCCTTGATCCATTGGCTGGACCAAAGAGAGGTGGCGTTTGGAGGGAGAAACACCACTTTGATATTGAGATGAAGATCACCAATAAGAGAATGTCCAGGAGCATTATTAACAATAAGCAAAATTTTGAAAGGTATGTTATCCTCCAAACTGTACTTCTCCATTTCACTACAGTGCAATTCAGGAGGGCATCTTGGAAGAAGAGATGAGTCATCCTTGACTTCTTATTGCTTCCGTACAACACTGGCAGTGTGTGCTTACTGATACGCTTGAAGGCCCTGGGGTTCTTGCTGTGCCAGATCACAAAGAGCTTCAATTTGTAGCCTGCAACACTGTCCCCTAGCAAGACTGCTATCATTCAAACCAGGCAACTTGGCCTCTTTATGGATTAAAGTCTTTTCAGGTGTCTGTTTCTAGAATAGGGAGGTTTCATCCATATTGAATATTTGCTCTGGCAAGTAATTTTCTTCCACAATCAGCTTGTGTAGAGTTTCCAAAAATTCTTCAGCTGCCTTTACATTAGCACTCACAGACTCATCACTCACTATGACATTGTGTAATGAATACAAATTCTTGAATCGTTTAAACCACCCAGAGCTAACAGTCAATTCAACATCATAGTTGGGTCCAGCCTTTTCTTTCAACATCACAAACAAACTTTTTCCTTTGGCTGTGATCATCATGGTGCTGAGAGGGATAGGCTTCTGTGCCTGGTCTTCAATCCAGGTCATTACAAAGTTTCTCCACGTCTGATATAGTCCCTTCTTGAATCTGTGTTGTTCTCGTTGCCTTCAATGAAGCATATCCTTTAATAGCTTCCATCACTTTGTTCTTGTTTTTCAAGATCGTAGCTGTGGTGGAATATTTCATCTCCAAGTTAATCATTCAACATGGACTCTTACTGGCAACATTAGGAGTGGATTTTGTACACTTAGGGGGCATGATGGACAAAACAACATGAGATTAAATCAAATGCAAGAAAAAATGATGTAATCAAGAGATGGTAAACACGAGATGCTGGAGGCTGCTGCCGGTGTAACACAGCATACTGTTTGACAGTAAACTTTTTAAAGATTTTCTGTTTTTTTCCCTTTTTCTCCCCAAAGCCCCCAAGTACACAGTTGTACATTTTTAGTTGTGGGTCCTTCTAGTTGTGGCATGTGGGACACCGCCTCAGCATGGCCTGATGAGCGATGCCATGTCCGCGCCCAGGATCTGAACCGGCAAAACCCTGGACCACCGAAGCGGAGAATGAGAACTTAAACACTCAGCCATGGGGATGGCCCCTAAACGTTTTTTTTAATACGGAGAATGAGTACTCTCTAAAATAACAATAAAAATTATAGTAAATACATAAAGCAGTAACACAGTCATTTATTATCAAGTATTACGTACTGTACATAATTGCATTGCTATACTTTTATACTACTGGCAGGGAAGTAGATGTGTTTACACCAGCATCACCACAAATACATCACTACAACATTATGACAGACATCACTAGGCGACAGGAATTTTTCAGTTCCATTATAATCTTATGGGACCATCATCGTATACGCAGTCCGTTGTTGACTGAAACACCGTTATATACAGCACACGACTGTACTTTCTCTTTTCATTTGATTATTCTCTACTACTAACCATTCTTACTTATTTTTCTTTTCTACCTGTCCCTTAAGGCAACTTAAGGGTGCTTTGCAGCATCACTGATTTAAAAAAGTGAAACAAAAATTTAACTTAATTGAACATTAAGCACCCAGTGTGTTGCCAGACTTAGTTTTATACTACGTCTTTATACTTATACTATGGACACAAAAACAAAATAAAACAAAACTCACAATGTAGTAGGGGAATCAGAAAAAACCAATACATTGTGGTAAATCCTATAAAACAAGTAGAAAGTACCATGGGAAACAAATGAGTTTGTCTAATTGGGCAAATAACTAAGAAACCAATAAATCCTGTACCTGTTGGTCACTTAGAACTCTTAGAACTTTGTACCATGTATTGTAAAGTAGTTGTTCTAACTTTTGTGTAGTATTAGACAAATAACTGGTTGAAAATTAAGTGTTAGGCAAGGGGGCATTAAGAAAAAGGACAAAATTTTAAAATGCCTCAAAGATCCAAAATCAAAGAACATGCCAGGAGTTCATTTTTGATCAAACTGTTATTTCAATCTGGAAGGGGCAGGGCATATCCAGTCCATTCTACTTTTGCTCAAAACTGTGGTTTTTAGATAAAAGACTATGCCATAAACTAATTCTGTCACTCACCAAGATTCCCAAACTGACACCAAGTGGGATAGCATGTTTGAATCAAGAGGAACTGATTCTAAAACGAAAAACCAAAAACATCCCAAAACGAGTTTGAAGTTTTTGGGTCCATCAAGCTACAGTTAGGTTTTAAGTTAAGTGCAAACTGGTGAAGGAGGCAAGTTCAGAAAATGGAAAAGCTAAACTAAATTGTACTCACACAAGATGTACACATATAAAAAATGTTTACGACGAGAACTTTGCATACGCTGTTATTCTTTCTTATCAAAATAACATAATGGAACGTGCCTTCCCAAAAAGCAGGAGTATTTTTTAAAACTTAAGTTTCAGAAATAGTGGCTCTGGTGGAACAGCTAGAAATAGCCAGATACAATCCTGCCAAATTAAAACATCAACCCAGTTTCTGAAAATCTACTTTCTGAATTCCTTAACTGCTGTTTTATGTTATGCAGGAGGCACAAGAGATCTACAAAATGGCTGCCTAAAAACGTGCTGATGTACGCTTCTGCAAAACTTATCAAGATCAAACAATCAACAATGTCTGAAATCTGGCTACATTAATGTCTACAACCTACTAATCAAATCTCACACTTAGCTTTTCACTATTACACAAAGCTATGAGAAGGCAACAAAATAAAGAATAAACAGTCTCTGTACTTATTTTCTTAGTAATACCAAATCTCAAACAGTAGAAATAAACTCATATTAAGACTTCATAGTAAAACAAAACAAAACCTCAAACTTCTTTAGGTCACAGTAACTTACCTCTTAGAAGTAAAATTTTTTTCCAGATCCTCATTGTGAACTAGTTTTGTATCCCCAAACTGCCATGATGACTGCAGATCACAGCTTACATCAAGCCGGCACTGGTTAAGAGTATCATGTATGAAACTATATTCTCTAGTATTGGTGCAACAAGGTGACAAGTAAACTAAACATAAAGAAAAGGGCACATGGTTATTTGTGTTTAGGATGTCATCATTGTACATCTGTACAATGACAAACGTATATCTGATATGAGACACAAAATAGCTAAGCACGTGGAATTTTCATTAACATGTCGAGGCATCTATTTATGTTTAAGGTTCTATAACAGTAACATAGACTTCCTACACTTGGTATAAATGAAAATACAAACCTTGTTTTTCTGCATATAGTTAACAGAGTTCTTGAAAGTTGACACAGACATATTATACAGTATTAGAATTCAGGTGATTCATTTTCAACTTAAGATGTTGACTCTACAACATGCATTGTCACACAAATCTGGGAACTACTGTTAGGACATGAACATTTCTTGTATTTCCCCCAAATAAGGCAATCTACATACTGGTAAACTAGTTGGCTATTTTGACTTGCAAATACCAGAACATCTTTGTAAACTGCTAACTGATATAGTAGCATGAGTAAGAAGTAACAGACTTTCTCAGGACAATGAGCAATGTTTTAAGCACCGCTATATTAAGTAGATGCATAAAAGGACCAAAACCCTTAAGGAAGAGGACTCAGAGGAAAGCAGGGAACAAATACAGTAGATTCTTGTTATTTGTGGTAGTTATAGTCTATTAAAGTCACCGCCAATATTGAACTAGTGAATACTGAACTACTACTCTTAGGTGAAATACATGGTTAGGTAGCTTCCTATGAACCTCTGGTCACATTTTTGACAAATGAAACGCCATTTGCGATATAGGTTTGCTTGCCAACATCCTTGTAAAACAAGCCAGTTTCATCATGGTTGAAAACTTGCTGCATAACCCTTCTCCTATATAACATTTAGCAGGTGTTTTAAAAATTCCTCTTGCTAAAGGTTTGTCTATTTTTCTGGTCTTTTCAATCAACCAGTTTTTTTAACGTAATTATTTTATTCAGGTCATATTGACTTATAACATTGTCTAATTTTAGGTGTACATTATTACATATCAGTTTCTATATAGACTGCATCGTGCTCCACTGTCATGCTCATTTATCCATTACCAAAAATATGTGCCCCTTTACCCCTTTTGCCCTCTCCCCCACCCCCTTCCCCTCTGGTAACCACTAATCTGTTCTCTTTGTCCATGTGTTTGTTTCTCTTCCCCATATGAGTGAAATCATACAGTTTGTCTTTTTCCGTCTGGCTTATTTTGTTTAACATAATACCCTCAAGGTTTATCCATGCCGTTGCAAATGACACGATTTTGTCTTTTTTATAGCTGAGTAGTATTCCTTTGTATGTATACACAACATCATCTTTATCCATTCATCCATTGATTGGCACTTGGGTTGCTTCCAAACCTTGGCTTCAATCAACCAGTTTTTTTGTTTGGTTCATTGATTTTCCCTTCTTTTGCTTGTTTTGGATTTGTTATTCTTTTTCTTGTTTCTCAAGGTGGAAGATTACATTACTGATTTGAAATCCTTCCTATTTTCTGATGGAAGTATTTAGTGCTATAAATTAGTAATGCTTTGTGTCCCTCAGATTTTGACATGTTGCATTCTCACTTTTATTGAGTTCAATACATTTTTTAAATTTCCCTTGAAATCCCATGAATGTTTAGAAATGTGCTATTTTCCATGCGTTTAGAGACTTACCTATTATTTTCTCTTATTAATTTCTAGTTTCCACGTGGTCAGAGCACACATTCTGTATGACTTCAATTCTTTTAAATACGTTGAGATGTGTCACATGGCCCAACATATTGTCTATCTTGATGAGCGTCAAATGGGCACTTGAAAGGAATGTTAAGGGCCAGCCCCAGTGGCCTAGTGGTTAAGTTCAGTAGGCTCTACTTGAGCAGCCCAGGGTTCGGTTCCCAGGTGTGGAACTACATCTCTCATCTGCCAGTGGCCATACTCTCATGGCAGCCCATATACAAAAGGAAGAAGATTGGCAGATATTAGCTCAGGGCGAATCTTCCTCACAAAAAACAAAAGACAGAAAGCAATGTCTATTCTGCTGTTGGGTAGAGTAATGTTTAAGTGTCATATCCTGTTGCTTGACAGCATTAAGTTCTCTGTCTTTGCTGATTTTCTGTCTTAGTTCTATCAACTACTGAGAGAAGTGTGCTAAAGTCTCCAACTATAATTCTGGATTTGTCCATTTCTTCTTTCAGTTTGATCAACTGGGCTTCACACATTTTGAAGTTCTGTTTGGTGCATACACATTTAGAATTGCTGTCTTACTGGTGGGGTGACGCTTTCATCATTGTTCCTGGTAATTTTCTTTCCTCTAAAGCCTACTTTATCTGACATTAATATAGCCAATCCTGCTTTATTTTGATTATTTGCATGGCCTATCTTTCTTCATGTTTACTTTCAACAAACCTATATCACTAAATCTGAGGTGAATTTATTGACAGTATACAGGTGGATCATGTTTTTTTTAACCATTGCGTCAACCTGTCTTTTAATTGGTATATTGAGGTCATTTACATTTAATATAACTGGTATGTTAGGGCTTAAGCCTGCCATTTAACTGGTTATTTTCTCCTCAGTTATTCAATTTTCTATCTCATTTTTTCCTACCTTCCTGTAGGTTACTTGAACATTTTAAAAATTCCATTTTGGGAGCCAGCCCAGTGGCACAGCAGTTCAGTGTTCACGTTCCACTTCAGTGGCTTGGGGTTCACTGGTTTGGATCCCGGGCACAGACCTACAAACTGCTTGTCAAGCCATGCTGTCACAGGCGTCCCACATATAAAGTAGAGGAAGATGGGCACTGATGTTAGCTCAGGGCCAGGCTTCCTCAGCAAGGAGAGGAGGACTGGCAGCAGATGTTAGCTCAGGGCTAATCTTCCTCAAAAAAAAAAAAAAAAAAACAGAACAGAAAAAAAATTCCATTTTGATTTATCTATAGTGTTTTTATAAAAAGCTTTTACTTCTGAGATAACTGTAGGCTCACATGAAGTTGTAACATGTAATACAGAGAGATCCTATATTCCATTCACCCAGTTCCCTCCAATGGTGATATCTCGCTCTATAATTGTTCCAAATACTTTCTCTATATACATTAAGAATCACATCAAAGAATGTTATAATTTGTCCTCCAACTGCCAAACATAATAAGAAAACTCAAGAGGAGGATGGTCTATTACATTTCGCTATAGTCTTACTCTTGCTATTGTTCTTCCCTCCTTCCTAACGTTCCCAGCTTCTCTGTCATTTTCTGTTTGGAGAACCTTCTTTAGCCATTCCTTTAGAGTGGATCTGCTGATGAAATATTTCTTGGTTTTACTTTACCTGAGAATGTCTATTTCACTTCTATTCCTGAAGGATATCTTTGCCTGGGACAGAACTCTGGGTTTCTACACTTGAAAAATGTTGTGCCACTTCCTCTGGGCTCCATGGTTTCTAATGAGAAATCTTCTGTCATTCAAACAATTTTTCCCCTATAGACAATGTGTGGTTTCTCTCTAGTTGCTTTCAAGACGTTTTCTGTCCTTAGTTTTCAAAAATTTGATTAGATTATAATGTGCCTTGGCACAAACTTCTTTGGGTTTAACCTGTTTAAGTTTATTCAGCCTTTTGACTGTACACGTTTATGTCTTTTACCAAATCTTGGAAATTTTTGGCCAATATTTTTTCAAATACTTTTTCAGCTCCACACTTTTTCTCTTCTACTTCTGGGACTTCTAGGACAAAGATGTAAGATCTTTTATTATTGTTCCACACATCACTGAGGCAGGCTCTGTTAATATTTTTCTGTTTTCTCTGCATTGTTCAGACTGAATAATTTCTATTGTTATATCTTCAAATTCACTCGTTCTATCCAATGTCTTCTCAATTCTTCGGAACCCACCCAACTAGTTTTTATTTCAATTACTGAATTTTTCAGAAGCAAAACTTCTACTTGGTTCTTTATTACATTTTCCATTTCTCTGCTGAGATTTTCTATTTTTTTCATTTGTTTCAAGAGTGTGTGTAGTAGCTTGCCGAGACATGATTATGATGGCTGTTTTAAAACCTTCTCAGATAATTCCAACATGTGTTTCATCATAGTGTTGGCATCTGTTGACTATCTTTGCTCATTCAAGTTGAGATTTTCCTTGTGTGTGGTAAAACGAGTGATTTTTAAAATTACACCTTGGGCATTTTGGGTACCGTTAAAACACTCTGAATCATAGTTAATCTTGAGTTTGAACAAGCCTCCACTAAAACTGAGCCAGCAGGCGAAACTCTGTTAGTAGTGAAAAGGTGGGCAGGGTGCTGACTCTACCACCAGGCAGGGTTGACGTCCTGACTCTCCACAGGGTCTCCACTGACACCCTGGGCGTATGCTTTGTTATCATGACAAAGGGGTGGAAGTCCACGCTCCTGACTCGGACTCAGCCTCCCACACTGTGGGAGGGCAACACATGCCTTGTTACTGGTGGGTGTGAAAGAAGTCTAGGCTCCCCACATGGTATTCACTAACTCTACTCCCAGGGAGAAGGGGTGTCTCATCACCACAGGGCAAGGGTGGAAATCCACTGACACTGCAGGGGATGGCAGGGATGGGAACTTGTGAACTGCCATGAAGGGGAGAGGCATAGACGGAAGTCTAGGCCCTCCATTTAGCCTCTGTTTACAAAGGTGTAGGAGGCATGCTATTTTTTTGCCCTACGTTTTGCAGAACTAGGGTGTTTATTGTCAAATAGGTTTCTGTCTTTCTAGGATGACCCTTTCCCAGTCCTTGGAAAGGGAGAACAGACTTTCCTTGGGACTTTTTGGGTCCATGCCATTAGGCATTCTTAGGTTGTGCGCATCCAATCTGAGACATGGAGGACAAAAAGAAAATCCAGAGAACTTACTTCTACGTTATTCCTTGAGTCCCAGGATCCTTAGCTGGTTCGTCATCTTCTACCTTTCAAAATCTTATATTTATTTTATGTATGATGTCCAGCATTTTTAGGTGTACTTAGTGAGAGAAATAGGAGAGGTGTCTGTTCCACTTTGTGTGGAACCAAAAGTAGATGTGTGTTTAAGAAATTAAAGGCCTGACTTAACCCAATTAGTCAAAATAGAAGATGAACATAAAGAATCAGAAAAATACAGTAAGAGTTATGAAATAACCCTATCTTTCATAGAAATAGTAAATATTACCTTTCCCAGCTGTCCTCCTGATCTTGGGAATGGTGAAGTTCTTTAAAGGACTGATGTCTACACCAGTAACTAATAAAGGTTCATTGGTTGAGTTCATTTTCCATAGTGTCTTGTGTTTAACAATCTCTTTTATTTCCATTTTGTTGGTGGCCTAAAACCAACTGAAAGTTATTAAGCAAAAGGTCAATAAATACATAAGAGTCAATGGCAGTAAAACTGTTTAAAAGTTCTTAAACTAAATTGAATAAAGACATATTCTTGGTCACACTTGCAATAGGTTTCAGTCTCAATTCGCCAGGTTACCCAAAATAGAAAATGAATTAACTTTGACTTTTATATAACATTAAAAATACTTATTTTATAGTTCCTAATAGACCTTTTCCTTGTAATTCATGTTACTTTAATTAGGTAACCAAAAGCCTCTGTGTTCCTTAAAGGTTTAATAATAACTTCCAAAAGACAATTTTTATTAACATTTGGTAAAATTCTTGCCAAATACTCTATTTTTAAAAATTTTTTCCTATATACTTCTATGAATAGAATAATATTACCTAAATCAGAATCTCTTGCCTTGGGAGAAACTTATTAAAGGTGTGAACCAACTATCACAAGGCTATCCCTACAACTGATGGCTGAAAACAGTCAGTCACTCACTGGCTACCGTTCCACAGTACCACTCTGCAAATGGATTAAGATAGCATATGCAGTCATACTAACAGTAACCAATTCCCTTTCCTCCCTCCTCCCTTCTTTCTCCAACTGCCCTCCCCCTGCTCACACACACACACATTGATTCTTAACCTTCCAAGTAGAACTCATATTGGATATCAAAGGAAAGCTATGGAGCCCACACACAGAGAAATATATGTAAACATGGACTTTTCATACCATTTCATTACATGGTTCATGGGTCCTCTGATATCTAACTGCTTAGTTCAAACCTTAGATCACAATCCAAATTAAGAGTTGCCAAAATTCCACAGAAGGATCACAAAGGATAAGATTTCATAGAAGGTTCCCAAAAGATTCCCCCCCCATCTTCACTCCCCCACCCTTTATGAAAGGTTATCTTGCCATCTCCCAATCAAATATGCTTCAGAATAGAGAACAGACTTCTACAAAGAGAAGACAAATCAGCCTTTCTCTCATCCAGTCACATGGATAGACACCAGCGGTGCTGCCTCCTACCAAGAATACCCTTAATATATACCAGCTCCAGAGACAGAATCTTAACATATACCAGGTGCTATAACACCTGCTAGTTTAGTAAGGAGAAAAAGGGAGAATAACTTATTTAGAATAACATATTACAAAAAACTCTTAAATTCATCATGATCTATACCTTCTGCACACAAAGGTATACAACCGTCAGATGAATATACTTTACTTGACGATCCAAGTGCTGCGACAATCCTCAATGTTTTTAACTAAGTTAAATTATATCTTCAGGAAAGATGGATGATATTTCAGCTGTATGGTTTCTTACAAAACATTTCACTAGTAGAATTTACTAATGAAGACTTCTGAAATTGACTAATTTTGTTTCTCAGTGCTTAGGATAATACTTGGCCACAAAGTAGCTAAGTTAAAAACTGATGAAAGACAGACTATTCAGGGCACAGTGGTATTCAATGTCCTTCATCAAATAAGCTGCACCCAGCAATTTTTCAAGTACAACCTTTCAAGTAGGAATAACGCCTCTTTAACTTCAGCCCAAATTAGCCATATTAAAGTGATAACAAATTCATAGATTCTTTCCATTCATATCTTACAGTCCCATAACCATTACATTATTTATATTGTTTATTTTTACATACAGATGCAAAAAAATAAATTATATGTTGCAAAACAAATACAATAGTCCTATAACCATTATCCATATATTTATGTATTATTCCTTTTTATACATGTAAAATGAAATCAGGAAGTCTGAATCCTGAGGGGTCATGCCGAGCCTATTCTACGGCGTCCTGGTTATCCTAGCAGTGGGAAAGGAGAGAGTGAAAAACCAACTCTAAACACTTCAAGCACAGTTCATGCACAAGACACTGCACACTGTGGGTCCTTAACACATTCAATAAATAACAGATTCAAATGAATGAATGAACTTAAAGATCAAACAAAGAAACCAAAACCAGAAAGAATCCCCAACAACTAAAGCATCTATTCACATACGTCTTAAGAGTATGTATATTATGAACAACTTTCAATCAATACATTTAAAGATTATACAAAATAATAAATTCCAGGAAAAATGTAATTTACCAAAACTGATTTGAGAAGGAATTAAAAGAGTGTATTATCCTATTACTATTCAGAAAAAAATTAAATCAATAGTTACAAATTGGTTTTAAAAATAAAGATGATATTTATATATCATCAAGAAGCTGAGTTCACCCCAGAAATGCAAGGGAGATTTAACAATATGACATATGTTTATTTCACTTAACTACATAAACCTATCAAAGGAGAAAAATCAAGAGAGTATCCCAATAGAAGCAGAAAAAACATCTAGCCAAATTCAAAATTCACTTATGATTTTTAAAAAAGTCTTAGTAAAAAGGAATTTACAGAAACATTCATAATTTGATGACGAGTGTCTACTGAAAATTGACAGCAAACTGGTAAATGTTAGAAGCACTATTTTTTAAATTAAGAATAAAACAAGGATACCTACTACCTCTGCTTCCTTTTAACAGTGTGCTGGAGGTGCTCACAAAGGCAGAAGACAAGAAATAAAAGGTATAAAGAAACTAAAAAGCTAACAGGGAAAGGAAAAAGGATTGGGAATTTCTGGGATTGAAAGAGTGAGTCTCAGCTCTTAAGACACAGCTTAGAACCAAATACTAGACAGATTAAGAATGAATTTTACTTAGAAAGGCAAAAAATCATCATGGTTCAAATTTTTGTTCTACCGTTAATTAACAATGTTACAGAAGGCAAAACGCCTAACTTCTCTGAGGCTGCAAGAGTATACCTCACATGGCTGCAGAACCTGGTACACAGTAACTGCACAATTAACCATTAGCGTACTCTTGAAGCCTGTGCTATGGAACCAAGTTATGGAGTCTGTCAAGAAGCACAGTATTATACAGATAACTGGGTTAGAAGTCGACTGATGTTGCTTCTAATTCTAGCTCTGCAATTAACCAATTAATTTTGGACAAGAAACTAACTTCCCTTGCAGTGCACTACTCTGAGTGCATAATGAATGGTAATACATTTTTTAGTGGCAATGAAATAAATTCCTTACGTCAAATAGCCAGTCTAAAGACTTGATCCTTTCAAAGCCTATTTTAAAAGAATATTTGTACTGAGGTTCCTAAGATGATCTTTAAAAATTAAGGATTTGAATGCTTGAGACCAGTGGTTAGAGATTAGAGATTACTAAATAAACATGCAAAATCTTTTACCTGATTACTATCAGAGTCTTTAATAACACAACTTGCTGTTTCAACTGAATAACTTAGAGAGCCTTAGAATTCCTTTAATAAGACTCAGCTGCTATCAGTTATGAAAAGGTTTCTCAGGATGACTGTAGACAGATGAGGCATTAGTGAGAAAGATTTTTTCAGTTCTCTTCAAACTTTCACATTAATCAACTTGTTAATTTATCTTTGACATCTCTACAAATTTGCTAATCTTTTTAAAAAGAAACGATGTCTCAGTTTCAGGATTTTCTGGCTAATAACAGTGTTCTAATTTATTTTTGCAACTACCTTTTATTTGTGCTAAATAATACTGATTTTCCAACCCAAAATATACTTACGTAAAAAATAAGTCTGTTTCAAAACATTAAAGAGAGATTGCAATGACGGTATGCGGATATGGCAAAGATTATCCCTCTTCTAGTAAACTCGGGGAAGAGTTTCTGATGAGCAAATAAAATGAATAAATAATATACTTGGAACTCTAGTCAGAGAAAGATAAATTCTGAGTTCTTTGCAGAGCTCTAAATGGCTGAGACTAAAAATTACTTCTGATAAACAAAAGGCTAAATCAGATCATACGTATAATAAACTATACATACACTTAGTGAGATTAAGTCAAGAATCCCACAGTTAAGACTATACAATGCAGAGATGAAATATATTTTAGTCCAACTTCTCATTTTATACATCAGAGGTTGGCAAACTATAGCCTGTGGGGCAAACCTAGCCCACTACTAGTTTTTGTAGGGTCCACAAGCTAAATGACTGAAAAAAAAATCAAGATTATTATTTCACATCACTTAAAAAATTATATAAAATTCAAATTTAGGGGTCCATGGTACGTTTTACTGGAATACAGCCACACCCATTCATTTATCTACTGTCTGTGGCTGCTGTCCTAGTAGAGCATAGTTGAGTAAATGTGACAGAGACCCTATGGTCCATAAAGACTAAAATATTTTATTCCCTAGCCCTTTACAGAAAAAGTTTGCCAGCCCCTGTTATAAATAAAGCAGTTAAGTATCAAAGAACTGGGACAATAAAAACTAGGTCTCGTGACTTCCATTTCAGGGCTCTTTCTCCTATTCTCCCATTGTCTCAATCATCTCTCCACTGCATTCTGAATCTCACCCCTACGCACTTTGCCCCTCTGCACCCTGCCCAACAGCGTTTCAACAGGCTCAAACCCGATCATTTACAGAATAAACAAAAACCGGCCAGGGTCCATATTTGCCCTTACCTACATCACCTCCTACTTCTTCCTCAATCTACTTTCATTCTACCTCCATTACTCTACCTCAACAGCAATCTTCAGTGACCAGTGATTTCCACCACGGTCTCTCACTCACATAGGTACATTTCTAGCTCATAACTTACTCAGACTTTCTACGTTTGATACTCTTCACCAATCTCTTCTTGAACTAATGCACTCTTCCTCTGACCTGTTTGAAAGCTACTTCTCGGGTGGTGCTTTGGTAGTCTCTTAACAACTTATCTTTATCTGGCCTATATTATTGTTTAACTAATTTTTACTTGCATAAGAAAAGTAAGAAAATATCCTAAAAAATTTTTTAGTATTTTATTGAACCAAGCTTTTCAAACAATAAAAATAGAACCCTGTGGTTTTAATTTGTATTTCATTATCAGTGAGGCTGTGTCATTTTGTTTTTCTGTGAATTACTTGTTCCTGCCTTTTTCTCCATTTTTTGGTCTTAAGGATTTGTAAGAAC